TATCTATCTATCTATCTATCTATCTATCTATTTAAAAGGTCTTGGTCCCTCTCGAGGTCTCCGTTGTGACAATTTAAAGAGCACAACCTCATATTCTAAACTTAGTGTGTATCATATTTAAAAAATGTATCTTGTAATATGGAAAAAAACATTATCATTACAGTGATTTTAGTGGAGAAAGAGGCAGTGCTTGTGGGAGACATAAAGCCAGACATTTAAGACTTAATGGGCCTTACTGTGTGTAGGGAGTCAGAGGCTGTGACTGTGACATAGTCCACTGGGACTTCACTCCCTTTATTCTGTACTGGGCGATGTGGCATGTCTTTTATGGCCCTCTGTAATATTTCATGACCCTATACATTGGTAAATCAGAGAGAAGCAGCTTAAAAACACAGCAGCCACAGTCTTCTTGAATAAACACCGTCACAAAAACTCTTCCAGCCTGATGTCTTTGGCTCAGTAACACTGAGGTTATCAGAATAAGCACGTGTGATTAGGCATCCAAAATGAACTCCCTAAATGGTGATTTCCAAAGATGGTTTTCTGGAGTCATTTGTGTTGTAATGAAGCTGCGCCCTGCTGTGTTGTGTGCCTAATGAATAAAGAATCTTAGGCAACACTTTAATTTGATTTTTTTTTTGCAGGAGACCCTGCAGCCCAACAGGTCTTGAGATTGCAAACCGAGCCCACTCTTAAAAATTATGTTTTTAGTTAAAATAATTGTTTTTTTTCATCAAATCCATTATACATTTTGGAAGTTGAAATCATTTTATAAATTAAATCAACAAAATTCCTCCATGAAAGACATATAAATAGAAACAGAATTTATGTGGAGACATAGAAGGCCGGGCACATCAAATCAATGACAGACTATTGTAATCACCTCATAGTAACTGTTCATTAATTGAAGCCTTTTTGACACATAACTGGTCCCACATAGAAAAGCAAGGGGAACCACAGTTTCACATATAGCAATACTGCCATCTAGTGTGATGAGTGATTTGGCCCAATACAGCCACATTGACTCAGTATATTCCCTCAAGAATGCCATCTAACAAACTGAAAGGCCCTCAGAAGTATAAAAGAATGGCAGTTTGAACACACAGGAAAATCCACTACTGGTCCAGTAGTCAATACACTTGGGGTGATGGCATTGCCTGCACCTCTTTTCTTGTTTTTCTTTTCCCGTTTGTACTATTATTTAAATATCCAATTCCTAAAAATGCCTCAACACACTACATTGGTGTATGCAGAGATACAGACGTAAATAAAATTGACTGTGTGTCAGCCTGGTTTGAACAAGCCACATTAGGCAGATTTTCTTCAACAACATAATTTAAAATTCAGTGATTCTTCCATTCATTCAGTTCCTGGGACATTTTATTGCCTCATGTATCACAATATTTCAGATCAGTACTATTGCCAAAAGTCAGGTATTTGTTGTATGGGGATCATTATCAGGAGAGATAATGTTGGATTAGTGCAATGTGTAAATGTGACACAACACTATATCTTCAGAAGATTGTATTTGACTGAAGCAGCATAGTGATAGACAGTTATTTTGATATGCACACTTCTATTACTCATCAATACACATACTTTTTGTATGATTAGTTTTTTGCATAAGTCTGCCACAGACTGTGGTGCATGTGGGTAGTGACAAAAGAGCAAGGATACAGTTATACACATGTTCTTAGAGAAAGACTGTGGTATTGTTTCCTCTGTGCCACCACACTTCCTTTTTCAAGGTTTTGAATGTTGGCTCAGGTGTCAGGATCAACTAAACACCTGCAGTGACAAACGGTATGATAGTCGTAGTCAGCTCAGTCTGAGCCCTCCAGTATGTTTGCTAGATATCAGCACATCTTTGCTTTACTTAAAGCAGACAGGGAGCTGACAGGAATGTGTTACGGAAAACCATCACAGCTCTCTCCAAGCATAACATCTAGAGCAGGCAAAATGCTATTCACGACACCCACATTACGACAACTTTAACTAACTACAAATTGGGTACTGTGATTTTGAACCGAAATGCAAAACTAAATAACAGCTCTTATGATTCTTTATTAAGATAGTTTTGGATAATGATATAGGCTTCATATAAATTGACACTATGTACTGTTATATTTGCTGTTAGTGTAACACAAATATAGAGCAGTACAAACCAAATAGTACTTACTGAAGAAGTCCAACAAATATGACTATTGCTGGTGTAATGAGTCTCTCAATGTCCCCAGTTGCAGGTTTGGGCACTTCTCAATGTGTAAATGTAAAACACTACACCTAATAGAATCAGCTTAGCTGTCAAACTGTAATTTCCAGTACTGGACTCAAACACATTAGCATCTACATTGCCAGGTCACTCCGTTACTCACAGATTCAATATCCATTTATTCTTGGTAATAAAAAAATCAATCTGTAAGGTAGTTGGCAGGCATTCACAGCTGCTGATAAGGCAGAGTTGTCTTTTGGCACATTACTAGCAGCTGAAGTGCCTCCATTGCTGTACCCAGGATGTCCAGTCCATCTAGGAAATCACTTTCATGTAATTTAAGCGGAATATTTACTTAGAGATTGTGGCTTGGCAAATTACAGCAAACGGCTGCATTAGGTTGTGTGGCATTCTAATTGAAAGGCACTGGAACAACATCAACAATGAACTTTTCATTTTAGGCACTGACATGATGGGGATATTGATCAGAATAATTAAGAATAAGTATGATGAGCTCATATTTAGAGGATAAAGATTCACAACAATGAAAAAGTGTGAAGGGCTCAAACAGTAGCCATCTGGTGCTGAGAGTCTGGGAGTTTATTATGCACTTCTAAATGGTGCAGAATGATCACTCTGAATGGATAAAGTGTGCGTGCCCTGTGAAAAAAAAAAAAACTTTCAATACAGCTATGAACTCCTACAGGAGCCTTTTCTTTATTCATGTAAAGGAAAGGACATGGCTGGTTGTTTAATGTAAAGGACAGTGTGACAAACCTCTTGAAAGTATAATGATTCACGTCTATGGACATTATGTTTGTTTGACTGTACTAAAAAAAATTAACAACTGTTTTTTTGGTTTTTATATAGAAAACAACTTCAAAAAACATTCTGACAGGATCACAGTTGTGCAACATTTCTATTAAATGTCTTGTGAGGCACACATTCACATGAAAACTTCTATATATACACAGTAGGTATTTCTCTCTGCCACCAATGTCACTTACCATAATTCAGATCTACTACAGCAAACTGTAAGCATATGAGAGAAGCTTAATCTCCTGCCTGTCTCTGCAGCAGAAAGTTCACCTTCACAAGAACGACATATCCTCAGCCGAAAGAAAAGAAGAAAATAGCCTATACTCAGATGTCTGAAAAAAATATTTGTATCTTTTCCACAAATTACAGTACAGTGGTAAGGTAAGACATTCTTGCAGGTAACTGGGTATCTCCGAAAGCTGCTGTATGTGTGTTATCCACCAAATGCATATAACCTATTAAAATATGCTATCTTCTCCATCTGCACAGATAATCATCCAGTTTTAAGTTTGTAGTTCCAGAGGTAAGTTCCCCCTAGTTTATAATATAAAATGTTTTTTTTTACTGGGGATGCTTTCACTGTTTTTGTGGTCTGGCGTTTGTTCTCTCCTGTCCTCTCACACAATTCATGCGGGCATATGCCAGAGAGGAGGTCCATTAATCAGGGCTCTTTTTATAAGGTCTGGATACACTACTCACAATTCTCATGCATTAACCTTGTTACTGCCCCTTACCACCCCTGAAATTTGGCACCACTGTGTGTGTGTGTGTGTGTGTGTGTGTGTGTGTGTGTGTGTGTGTGTGTGTGTGTGTGTGTGTGTGTGTGTGTGTGTGTGTGTGTGTGTGTGTGTGTGTGTGTGTGTGTGTGTGTGTGAGTACAAGTGTGTATATTTTGAGCCCTTGTCACTTGTTAGTGTAGAAAATCCTGCCATGCTATAAATAAAACCAGTCGGAGGGAGGGATGGAAGCCAGTAGAGTGCTTTGACAGCAGAGGGCATATCGGCCTTGTCTCCCTAGGATATGAGGATTGAATTCAATCTACAAACTGATAACTTACTCAGTATATCTTACTGCACTGCATATTTGCACATTTTAAATCTGGATGGAATAATTTACGTAATTTTTAAGTATATTAATATAAACTGTTATAGAGTTATTGTCAGTAGGGGGAAACGTGAGGAATATTGGAATAGGGATAATACAAGAAATAAAACCAGATAGATGCAGTGATATTCACGTAGAGATATATACTTATAACCAATATGTTTTGGGTACAATAAAAGCATATTTTCTGCTATGAATTCGACCCCACTCCTGATACAAAACGCTTGGTTCAGCTCTCTGACAGCATCTCTCTGACACCTAAAGTAGAAGGTGGGGAGAGATCTGGGAAACACTAACTGTTTGACTTGGTGTCACAAATAAATTATTTGTGCTAAATGGCAGCTGCTTAACATTAGTTTTGTAGTGTTCTGCCTGTGACTTTTGTAGCAGATCAGGTCCACAAATGTTGGAAAATTGTTTGTAGACAAGTGATATGCAGATTTTGCATGAACGGCAGTCAGCTCTTTTCATCAACACATCATGTCTCCCCCTTATGTATCAAGCATCTTTAAAGTTATAGCATGACATGTTACAGTAAAATGATTTGACAGCACACTTTCGATGTTTACTACAAACTGAAAACTTGATGCTGAAACAATATATCTTGCAGCCTTACTTGCCACTTTGTATATTCCATATTATGCACATGCTGTTATTAAACATTAAGGTTCATGTTTTCATAATGTCCATTATGTTGGAGCAACAGAGAACACAGTTGACCATCAAATAAAATGCCAATCTATTGATTATTTTTGAGATTCATTTTAAAATGAATAGCCCATCTGTGAAAGCTCTTTGTTGTATTATTGCATCAAGAAGGAAACGGCATAGAAAAATATGTTTCTTACCTTGACCTTGGACGTCCAGTAAGTGACCAAAGAGAATAAGAAGGAGCTGAAAGGTGGAAGAAGGCCCGCCCACTCTGAGTGCTCTGTATCCCACACTGCTCCAGCTCCTCGCAATCATGGCAGCATCAGATGCTGAGGAAACAGACAAATATAGTGAGACACAACCAATAATTTATTGGTTTTTCTCTGCTATTTCAAGATTTCTTGAAAATGTTGGGGAAAAGTCCCATTAGCAATGTGATAATAAAACAAAAAAAATTGAGACAACTGGGCTCTTGAGGCCCAGCAGGAAAGATAAATCATTTGGCAGATTTAATTAACCAAATGTTCAGCACTTAATATTAACACTGACCTAGGGACTTGGGTTGGGAACCGGAGGGTCACCTGTTCAAGTCCCACACCATAATATGGAAGTTGATCTGGTAGCTGGAGAGGTGCCAGGACACTTCCCAAGCACTGCCGAGGTGCCCTTGAGCAAGGCACCGAACCCCCAACTGCTCTGGTGCATTCTCTGCATGGCAGTGTGTAGCAGCCCCACTCTGACATCTCTCCACCAACGTCCACAGGTCCTGTTTGTGCATGTGTGTGATTCTGACCTGTGTGCAAGAAGCATGTCCCTAAAATAACAGTGTAAACCTGAATTTCCCTTCTGGGATGCTATAACCCTGGGATTAATAAAGTATATCAAAATCAAAAAAATCAAAATCTGATCACTGGGGCCCCTGGACCCCAGATCAGGAACATAAAAGCCCCTAAATAAATATAAATAAATGATGTAAACTGTGTGGACTTTACCACAACAACATTCCAAAGAAACAGTTAAATCAGGCCTAAACTTTTCAAGTACTTTTTTCTGCTCATATCTTCCACCATTATGTAAACCGCTTATCCCGCTTAAGGTCGCTGGGGGCTGGAGCCGATCCCAGCTGTCTTTGGGCGAGAGGCAGGGTACAAGCTGGACTGATCGCCAGTCAATCACAGGACTCTATATATATCTTGACAAACAAAATTAATAATTGCTCTCAGTTGACCACCAACCACCACATCTTCTTCTTCTGGACATCTAAATCATTCATCCCCTCTGCAATTAAATTACTTAATAAAGACTCTTTTATCCTCATTTTGACAACTAATTTTATTGTTTTTAATCCGTTGTTTTAAATAACATATCAACAGGATTTTTTTTGTTTTTTTTAATTAAATTTGATTGGTCGTAACTGGTTTCTTAAAAAAGTTTTATAAGAAGCATGGAGAGTGATCATAGATTTAGACCACCATTGTCTTATTTCATGTAAAGATTGCCCTTGATCCCACCAGCAGGTTGCAACTTGTCTTCACATTATACCTTTTAAATCTCTGTCATCTCCTTCACCTGTGTCAGACAGAAAAGAAACACTCCAATTTTTCAGTAAACTTATAAACACTTGTACAACAGTCCTTGTAGTACACTTTTCTTCATGTTCTCACAATCTATTTTGTATAATCTCAAAAAATGGTCAGGGTTGCTATAGAGACTCATCCTTCTGCGGGCAGTTTGGATTATTTACGAGTTGTACGCTCAGAGCAGAATATTAATTGAAGTTGAACAGCATGCAGCTCTTCAAAAAAACGAAGTGAAGGTTCACTGTGGAAAATACAGGACAATTTTATCTGCCAGCATAACTTTTAATTTATGTAACATGCAGATCAAACTTGATACAAATACATTAAGTTACAATTAGTTTTAACCAACACTTTGACAACAAGCAATAAAAAATACATTATTAACATACTTTTTTCCAAACACAATAGCCTTAAATATCATGCAAGTCTTTAGGGCTGCATTAAAAGGCTTTCAATTTTCTTATACCAATAAGTCCTTATCTGATGAGACAGAGGACTACTTAACATCTCCATCACTTAAACACTCACACAAATTCTCACGTAGTACCTGTACTGTATCTGCACATCCGCGTCTTGTTCCTGCTTTTTATCCTGAGAACAAGTCCTGCTCCCACTGCTGCCTGGGTGACTTTCTTCTCTTTACCTCCGCTGTAAACTCACAACTGGCACAGCTCTCTTCCCGTTCTCCAGCCAAATAGTCCATCTGCACAGACAGAGGGAGGGAAAACCAGGGGGAGAGGAAAAAAGAGAAAATGAGGGGGAAACCAATGGATGGGAATGAGAATAAAAGGAAAAGAGAGACAGATTGCTTGGATAATGCGCATTGTCAGGAGTTGTATTCTTTGTAAGCCAGTGTGCAATGAGTAAAAATCGCAGAGTTAAACTAATTTGATTTCAAATTCCCTCAGTGCAGCAGTTTCCTTTTCTATTCATATGTTGGCATTTCAGCTTTTGAGCTTTGAATCACAAGCATGGCTTCTGTGCACTTAAATCACAAAGTATATAGGATCTTATTGAAGCACTAGAAAGCATACCCTACCAAATTCATTATAAGATAGAAAGTACAGAGGTGAAACGTCTTCCTTTTCTAAGCGGATGAGAGCTGAAGAGATGTTGGAGTTTGCTGCATTAAACAAATTCAACATAAACACAGAAAACTGAAAAATGAGCTAGACACAGATTGACATCTTTCAGAACTGGCTGACAAAATGTACACCAGTATCAGCATACACGTTGACTGACAAGAAACAAGAGACAAGACATGTTTAATTTCATTTAAGAACAATATAAAACAGTATGGAAAATGCATTACAATCATAGTTATTGCTGTACGCCCTAACCCCTGAGTTGGGTTCTCAATTTTCACAATTTTTAAACAAATGCTTTTGCATGGTAAGCACAGGTTTGGCCTATTTAATTGTTTTAAGTAGCCTGCAACTTAAATTAGTTAGCAAAATGCTTACAATTTGCAACTGCAGCATAATTTGACAGACCAATTTAGCAGTGTTTGTAGTGCAGTTCAGTTATTTAGAATGAGAGTACATATCAGCGAGGTGTTAACATAATTGCAGCACTTTCTGTAACGACATCTCCCCCCTTGACAGCAGTATAGGTCACAGCAGCGCAGAGCTCAGCCAGACACCCCTTCGAATTTAGCAACTTCCACACAAAAAATAAGCTGACACAGCAACTTGAACCTGAATCTACAGCTGAAGGACACACCCTGCTGTCCAAAAGGTACATTAGTCACATGCAATTGTCACCTTTGAATGAACTTAACCTTCCCCTAAAATAGAAAATGCCAGCCCAATGTTACGACTCAAGTTCTAATTATAGTTACTGTACCTTCAAGCGAGTGATACACATAATCATCAAAATGCAGACACATTTAGTTGCACACAAAAAAATTGAGCTCATGGATCCCTTAATGCTTACTTATTGTGACTATATGGTAGGCCTATACAAATTGCTACTATGAATGCAAACACTCAGGCTTTAAGGTTGGCTGAACACTTACTTACAAGGTAACTGAAAGGCCAAGAACAACAGATGTAAAAATGTTCATTCTTTAACAACAATCTAATGCACATCTGGACACTATGCATACTGTAATTTCTGCCTTTTAAACTTTTTTTTTTTTTTAAAGGCAAAGTCAACTTTATTGTCAATTTCAAAATATGCCAGACATGCAGTGGAATCGAAATTGCGTTTGTCTCCGTCCCACGGTGCAATACAACCAAAATAAGTTTTTAAAAAAAGAGATAAGGTAAAATAGATGAAATAAAATAAAGTAAAAATAAATTGAATAATATTTACAGTAATAAATTCTAAATTGTGCAAAAGGTACAAAATGGTAAATAAAATAAATAAAATAAAATTTAAAGAAAAAGAAAACTTGTGCAATATGTGCAATGTGCAGTAAACTGAGTGTACTTTTGAATGCTGGTAAAGTGAAGGGAGAAATAAATAAAGCCAATGACTGGTGTATAGGCTATACTGCATGTCCAATTGAATATATTAGACTAGATATGATATGGACAGACCAGACATCCGGCACACCTGTTGAGCCTTGTAATCAGTGTCATTAACAACACCTGGGCTTTTACTGTGTCTGAATTATCCCACAGGACTATGTCGTTTCGGCATATGCTTGTCCAAAGTAAATCCATAAAGTTGACATGTCTTCATTACTTCTAGCTTCTCGGTTTGAGGTAGTTTCCACACAATGAATGAGAGTGAATCTTAAAACAGTTTTGGGGACTTCAGGTTTGGGAAAAGTTATGCTGGCCTTATTACCGCTGCTTCACTGACGGCCATACAATAAATTAGCCATTTGTTACTTTAACAAGACTTCTATTCGCTTAATTTGCGGTACATGCGAACTTTTAAGTAAGTTTACCTACTTTAAAATGTGTTCTTCTTGCTGGCAGACGCCTCATCCGACCACGACATCACAGCGACGCTCGAGGAATGTTTTTCTTCAATGACGTCATTGGTCACTTTCCTTTTCTTGAAAATCCACATAACCTCCCTCTGCTATTTGCACCAAACACCAAAAATAATTAAGGCTATCGTTTCTTTGTATTTTCTTATTTTTAAGCTGTGAAATGATGTTCAGTAGGCTATATTTGTTCACTGACATAATTTGTGAAGCCCTTTAGCTACACGACAAATGCAATGGGGAAATAAGTGAGAATTTAACAGAATGCACACATTAATCTTAATTTTCCTTTGACATCCTTACATATTTAGCTACTGTTTTTATGTAGTGATAAGTTACTATACCAGTTGACTTTGTTTAGTAATTATGGTTCATCTCACAGGTAGTAATTGTTTTCTTTCATATTGTTTATTATATTAAGTAAATATATTTACTGCTCTTACCTTCTTATTGCTTTTTATTTGCTTTTATCTTTTAGTTTCTTACATCTTTTTAAATCTTTGGTCTTCTTGGTCTCAGCTCGTGTTGTTGGGTTCTTGTGTTGCCTGGGTTCTTATGATGGTTCTTGTGATGGTCGGGTTATATATGTCTGGTTGTGTATCGTGCACTTTGGGTTCTTTTCTGTTGAATTGTATTTAATTATTCTTAGTATTTTGCATCTGTTATATTCTTACTGTTGTTAATGTTCTTCTGTGTTTGGTTTAGTTTGCTTTGTTCTTGCTGTTTGTCAAAGCACTTTGTAAACCTGTGTTTTTAAAAGGTGCTATATAAATAAAGTTATTATTATTATTATTATTATTATTATTATTGTTATTTACAAAAACACCATGTATTTATTAGAATTTTACTTCTTTTTTTCCAGGTTGCTTTAAACTCTGAAAGGAAGACATTTGAGGACAAACGCTCAATAACTTAAATTGTGGAAAGAACAACATGATGCCAAGTGGAGGAAATGTATATTACCAGTCAGGGACAAGAACATGGCCAGGACTGATCCAAGCTGGAAATATTGAGCAACATTTCCTATGTAAAGATAATTATCAAAAGGTCAATTTTTCTATCATGGCCTTGATAGTGTTGGATGAGATAGCATGTCAACAACGTGTCTCAGTCTTCTGCATGGATTTTCTTTTTTAAATAAAGAGCATTTGAACTTCTAGGACTGCATGAGTTTAAATCTGCAGGATGCTTTAGTTCAACAGAAGATATCTTACATTTTCTTTCTTTTCTTTTTTTCCCCATCTTTACCATGAAAATCCTGCACTAATTCTCCATCTCTCATACAAACAGAAGCAATTAAACATGTCTGCTAATGCTAATGAGATGTTGAGAGTTGAATAGATTTGGTCCCATGAGATGTGTTGATAATTGCTTCCTTGATTTTGAAAGTCGAATACGGATTGTTAGAACTTCTCTGGCACACTTGCTTTCCATGCTTGATGTGGAGCAGTATGTCAAGCAGTATTATAATCTACCGTACAACGTTGATTTTGTTTTTATTTCATTATGAACATTTTCACTAATTCAAACACAGAAGGAAATCTCCCAAGTAAATTAACATATTTCTATGCTTCCACTACTGTAAGAATCTGAAGTCTTATATATTCTACAGTCATGTTAATTTCAAAGTTGGGCCAGCTGGACCAAAATAAACAATGATTTAACTTTTTTAAAGCCTTAGGGGCTGCAGAGTTTTTCTGATTACCATGTTGATATCAATAAAATAAATCAGAGATATGCTTTTGATCTCTGTGTAGGATTCAACTTAGAAAACATGTATGAGATCTGTCATTATATCAATGATTGTAAAGGATAAAGGTTGTTGTACAGTTTGTTTGAAAAACCTTCAGTCAGATTGTATAATCAAATTATTCAACGAGGATGCTGCACCTGGATATTTATTACCTGAATCTAGATAAGGCATGCACTCATGTATAGCCACAGGGTGAAGGAATCATAGCACTCAGAGACAAAAGAAAATCAAAGAGCAACATCTTTAATCTACAACAGTTTCCTTTAACCAACCACATTTTTGTGGCACTCTTTAAACAGATTATTGCTCAATCGAGTCCTTTTTATCCAAGATTTATTTTTGGGCATGTTATGCCTTTATTAAAGAGATAGGACAGTGGATAGAGTCGTAAATCAGGGAGAGAGAGAGAGTAGGGAATGACATGCGGGAAAGGAGCCTCAGGTCAGATTTGAACCTGGGCCGCCCGCTTGGAGGATTACAGCCTCCATACATGGGGCGTGCGCACTAACCACTGCGCCACCAGCGCCCAAAACCAAACACATATTTAAACATTTGTTCTTTACAATGATCCCATACTTAAAACATAAGTAAATTCACACCAAATATTTGTCTGTTGTTATTGTGCAAGTTATTGTTGCACTGAGGATCATGATGTGGGTCTTGGCTCTAGTCAAGGGACGGCATGGCTCTCCTGAGCACAATGGGAACAATTAGGAATATTGTTGAAGCTGTTAGAACGGCAACTGCAGTGGAAACCTGTGGGAAATAACAAAAACAGAAACATCAGCCAGATTTCAGATGCAGTAAGCTAGCGCGTTGATGGAAAGTAAATACGCACATTGACTCAGGTCCTGTAGCATTTTGAGATACTTGAAAGTCACTTGAATATTTCCTTTTTATACTAGTTTCAAAGAAATTGTGGTACTTAATTACCTGTATCTGCATCGTTGAGAAATGTCTTGACTATAAAATGTAGCATATATCATGTATTTCAACTAAACATTGTGTATGGTGGTTCATTTTAGAATAATGATTGAAATAAAACATTTTCAATATTTTACACATTAGAAGCTTGCTGATAATTACAAGATATAACAAGAAACTAACATGATGTTAACAGTTAATTATAAAAATATATGAATTAAATTATAAAATGTAAAGGCATGTTTTATCAGAATGAATTATTTTGCTTCTGCTCACATTCTGTAGTGCACAAACCTTAATAGCAGTGTTATAGTCCTTTTGAAACGACTGAATATACACACTGTAGAGGGCAAGGCTGCAAGGCAAGTATCCATCCTTACCCTCCAGTTCTCTGCATCTATTGGAAGAAAATATACAATTATCTTACCGGAATAACAGATTCACATAGCAGTGTCTCATTTAATGAACTTTTTGATACACACATTCAGTTCTAACCCACCTTTCGTACAAAGAACTTTGAAGTGAAATGTTGTCTTCCAGGTAGAGCTCTGAAAGGCCGAGTTTGATCAATACTGACAAGGACAGCCTGTAACCCTCAGCAACAAGGAGGCCAAGGTTGTACCATCCCTGTGGAGGAAGAGTATGGCTTACAACCAAATTGATGCATTAGAAAAATTCAAAGGAACAAAAACCTAAAAAAATATCAAAACAAACAGTACGAAACATCAATTTAAAAAAAAGTCTGACCAGTGGCTCCTGCCTTAAAGCTGCCAGTGTGTACACCTCTGCTGCAGAAAACAAGTCTTTGTGCACGTCAGCTCCCCCCTCATACAACAGGTCACCCATCTTAATCAAGGCTGGATGAATAACAGAGATAGAGGTCTGTGAGATTAAACTGTTTGCTCAAGAGTTTCCACATATCAAAGTCTCAAAGGATGGCTTTTTACCATATGGGTCAGGATTTAGACTTTGGGTTGTGAGGTTGTAATATCTCCACATGCAGCCTGAAGCAAAACCAGGATCCAGAATATCTACCTAAGGACATGCAGAGTAAAGAGATACATTTGAAAAATGACAAGAATGAGTACAACAGTCACAATATCCTGACAATACAGATAATGAAGAGATAACTCACTGTATTTTGTTCACAAAGATATGCCACATTGAATTGGGCAGGTGCATACCCGCACTCAGCAGCCATCATGTAATATAACAGCGAGTTGAACCTGTTGGCAAGACAAAAATTTAATTTGTTGCCACTGCAATCAAGTGGCCTGATAGGGATCATGGAGACTGTGACTAGAGGAAAGATTACATGTCGCTCTTGAGATATGAATCCAAGGCTTTCCGCAAGATAGTTCCTAGGTATCCGTTGTGCTCAGCTGCCCACTTTACCCACCTGCAGGCAGTTAAAAAGACATTTCAGCCAAGGCAAACGAGAAAACTGCAAGAGTAAAGTGAGGTTTATAAAAGGGAACAGTGCTAACAAAACTGCATCCGCTTGACGTCTTTTGACACGGCCGGGTATCCCCGTTGTCCAGATCTCAGCCAGGAGAATCCCACCTCTGATGTGCCCTCTTTCTGCAGACTTCAGGTAATACTTATAGGCCATAAACTGTCAGAAAGACAAATTATTTACCTCTCTGTAAGTGCCAAATGTTACTATGTACCCATATATAGTCAGGAAGCACTAACACTTGAGCTAACCTTGTCTACAGCTTTTCCAGGATACAGTCCCTGTGAGTACAGGACTCCAAGGTTCAAAGCAGCATCTGGAGAATTAAGGCGATCAGCCTGCTCCCATAGTTTCACTGCCTGCTCGTAGTTCTGCTCATGCTGCTCGTAGTACCAGGCCAGGGCATTCATTGCAGGAACAAAACCCTATGGGACACACAATTGTAGGATGCAAGGTAGATGGTGCAAACTTTAAATCAGTCTTTGCAACTGAAAAGCCCTCTCCAAATGTAACAGTGATGATATAAAGTGAGTAATAACGGGATCATTTTACGATACAAAACCTTGTCCATTGCTTTCTTGAGGAAAGTGAGAGCTTTTGGAATATTCTTTTTGACCCCTTGTCCCTACAACGAAACATACAAGCATTTCATTAAATTCTTTATACTAATCCTTGATACAATATAAATTATTTGTCAGTAATATATAAATATTTACGGTACATCATATGTGATTCTGACCTGCAGCAGGACTATGCCATAATCATACATTGATACAGAATCCTCCAACTGGACAGCTCCTCTTTCATAATGTCTCACAGCCTCCTGCATGTTTGGAGACACTCCCTGCTGACCCCAGAACAGCATACGACCAATCGCTTGCTGTAAGACAGTAATTTAAAAAAAATAGTTACTTAATTACATATTTTGACTGGAACTTAAATGATAAAACTGTTTTTGAGTATCTGAGGCTATTTTCTTTTACCCTAAAAGATGTGACATAAGATTCAAACCTAAAACAAAAGTCCTAAAATCAGAGACATTCTGTTTTTTCTGACTGACTTTCTAAGTTTGTGTATGTGTTTGCAGTTTAAAAGGCAGAGATGTCAGTTCAGTGTACCTCTGCTTCAGCTGCTCCCCTGTGGGCCTGTAGTTTCAGCCATTGAAAGATGTGATGATCCTTATCTGTCTGGAGATTCAACTCCTCCTCATTGTTGAGATGAACCGCCTCTACATAAGTCTGGAAAAAACAGGAATTCAAATGAGAGAACAAACATGTAAAAGGTAATGGGTCTTATATTCATTTGTGCCTTTCCCTTCATAAACACAGTCAAATATTTCAAAAAGGCACCTCACTGTTTCAAACAAAACATAAACCCTGTTGGAGTACTGTACTGTTGCCAAATGTTATCATTCTCTTACCTTTCTTACTGTAAAAATCAGTAACAAAGATAAAAAGGGGTTTGGAATTATTGTTGTGGGAATATCAAAGCTATAGTCACAATAAAGTTAACAGGAAAGGTATTAAGATAAGATAAGATAAGATATGCTTTATTCATCCCAGCAGGGAAATTTAGGTGTTCCAGCAGCCAGCATGCATACAAACACACAACACAACACATATATACATACATATCCCACCCATACAAAAAACATGAGCCCACAATACATAGCCAGGATAAAAAAGTGGTCTGGATGGTCCATGTGCATAAGTAGCTGTTACTCATAGATAACAGTACAAAATACTAGCTCTGCCAGTGCATAGTATGATAGATAAATAAAGAATATGATATTACCATATTATATTCTTCTCCTATTTTGTGTTAAGCCCCATCTACATGAGTTTCCTCCCAGCCTCTATTTTATTCATTTTTTTTATTTAACCGGGTAATTGACTCATTGAGATCAAGATCTCTTTCACGATGGTGACCTGGCCAAGAGAGAATCAACTCTGCAGACTATCTGACATGATATAGTTTACTTACTCTTTTCTCTGAGTTATTATATCCACAACAATGTTTATGATGTTTGAAATAATTCCATTATCATCATACATACTAGGAAAGAATCTGCTCATGTTTGTTCATACAATCAAAGGGAGGCTAAGAAAACCCATTTTGGGTTTTATAAAAGTTACTCAATGTTAGCATACCTAAGCATCCAGTTATGATGCTTGAGTTACCTGCTCTGGTGTGGGATCTTGACGGTCCAAAGCTGTCTGCTTAGCAATGTTTTCATAATATGCATAGGCCAGAGCTGGATCTGTGGGGAGGCCATGGAGACCCTGGTGGTGCAGGTGCCCTAGATGCAGGAGTGCCAATCGATCATCCTTTTGGGCTGCCAGCAGGGCCAGGAGCCAAGACTGAATCAACACAAGAGAATCACAGGATATAAAAAAAATAGATGTTCTCACAATCTTAGTTTTACTCTGAATCTCCAAGTAGCCCACACCTTATAGGGCTGTTTCTTGACTCCCAATCCAGAGCTGTAGAGTACAGATGCCATGTGCAGAGCTCGGTTATCAGATAAGCAGCCAGCTTGGAGCAGCAGTGGTAATATTCTGCTGATGTCTCCAGTTCTGCCTCCTCTGCCCAGCTTCTGCAGTGATAAGGAGTATAGGGCTCTGCCCACCGCTGCCAGATTCACTCCTCTTTTTCCTGCAAGTCAGGAAGTGATTAAAATTAAATAACACAGGTTTCATTAGTGAATAAGAATAAGAACACAAGTAGTTCGCTCCATATAGACTCACATACAATAGTTCACCCAAACTTGTCCAAAGGACAATTCTATACTTATTTCTCATGAAGATCCCAAAGATGTCAATTAGGGGAAATGCATCTACAATGTAAAGTCTTCATCTACGTAGGTACTCTTTCTTTATGTTAATACAATAAAGTTGCCGCTGTGTGTATCCAATGTGTGAAATATTAAGTTCTGAATATCATGACAAACAACCTCTGGATATTGTGTATCAAATATTGGCAAATCAATTTGTGAAGTTTATTTCTCACCATGTTTGAAAGCCAACAACTTGGCCAATTTTGCAGCTTGTCTTCTGCGAGGGATAGTTTCCTCCCAGAGCTCACATTGTGGCTTTGATGGCTGTCTCTTCAGTACCAACCATTTATGGAAAGCATCATAACATGTTTCTGAAAAAGAAAAACTGAATCAATTTCTTTATATCTTCAGTAGTAATATAGAGAATCAACTCGTCAGAATAGTTCACATGCATTCACTTCAGCACCACCTAGTGGATATATATGCCTACTACTAGACTCTGTTCCCTGATTGGCCTGAAGAGAATATCGTCTGATCTTCACACTCATCTCCAGACGCAGTGCTTGACATGTATGCAGCCATCCAGTCAGATTCACAGCTCTGATAACATCTGGAATCACAGCCTCAGTCTGGAGAAAAGCAAATGACAGCACTCAAATGAATTGAATAGTTGACCTGGACGTGAACTGTTGTCAGGTGCATTATATTCACCGTGCTCCGAGGTAACACTCTGTTGCGGTGGTAGACCATTGGTCCATAATAACCTTCCACACCTTTCACATATTTTCCTCCACCAATCACAAAATATCCTTCCGTGTCATTTAGTATGATATTATGCCTAAAGCTGCAACACACAGAATGCTCAGTGCATTTAGTATTGATGATGTTATCACAAATTGATTATTTTATGTTGTCAGTAGCAGACTTACATGTATTCTGAAGAATAATCTGTCCTCTGCTCCTCATCCATGCACAACATAGAGACAGTCACCTGAGATGCAACAACAATGACGACTTTACTCCTCATAAATACAATAGTTATTTCACTTTAATTATGTTTCAGTCAACAGGAAACAACTCACCCTTTTAAAGAGCACCACCATTCTGATTTGGCACCACTCCCCTAAAGGCACCTTGAATGAAGTGAGAAATGCAGACGATTGCTTTGACTCTCCGTTCATCTGGATGTGAAGCTGGCCTGCAGATATCAGTCGGAGAAAACTATGAATTCATGAAATTGTGCAGTATAGTTTCATAATGAGAGTATCAACAAGTTGAAGATAAAAAAAATGTATTAACTTCACCTGACTTTGTGAGGAACAGTGATGGTGAGATATAGCTACGATGGGAGTCTAAATGATAAAAGAATCCACACAACTTTTCCTGGCAGTGTCTGTTCACAAATATCCACATAGAGAACATACACCTGACAAAGACAAAAAAAGAACACTTATCCTAAATAATGCCTCTGTTAGCATCAAATAAGCTGATAATAATATGTATTTACCTTGGAGAGGAAATGGCTTTCATACGCAAATACTCCAGAACTTCATTGCTATACGGGTCCAGTGTCTTAGTAATGCCAAAGTTTTCTCCAGTTGAAGCAAAAACTGAAGACAACAAGCGTACTGTTTCTAAATGACAAAAATCGTTTTGGGGTTAGAATTTGAACACCGTAAGATTTCTCTTACCCTCCCAAAACCTATAAATACTAGGATGCTTCACAGACCAGTACAGCATGAATATTTGAAATCGAAAATCTAATTTTGAAGCAACACTATTTGTGACTCATGGTGTGTTTTTTCAGTGTACAATGTTAACCCTACCTTGCTCAAAATGGCATTGCTTCTTCAAAAAATGTTGAGTTAATCGTAACATTTGCATATTCCAGGCAATGCACAGCTCATGCTGTTTCACAGGCCGTTCAAAGTAAGGCACTGGCTCCAAAGTTGCCACATTGTCAGCTGTAACCAACTCCTCAGTGTCATCGAATCCAGGGTATGTGACTGCTACTTCCAGCATACAACTCGTCATCCACTGGGAGTCAGGAACAATCCCATCAGCTTGATAAACCAACCAATCGGGCAGGTTCAGCCGAACAACCTCTATTTGAGGGTCATAGGGGTTGCAGCTCCAGTGGTTCAGCTGGACTATGTCAGTAATGCCAGTTTCAAAAGTTACAAGTAAGTCCAGCTGAACTGTTGCATGCCCATTACAAAAGTAGGACACATACAGAATGTGGTGTGGCAGAGCCTTCACTGGAGGATTCAGAAGTATCACCCCATCTAAGGCCAAGACCATCTGTATGATGAAGAGGACATGCGCATAGCTGCTAATGACATCACTTCAATCAAGGGAAAACATTTTGATCATACAGTAGGAATCTGAAAACTAATGACGAAATAAAAGGATCAGAAAACGTGTCGCATATCAGCTTGCGTTACCTGCTCTGGTGTGGGATTATGATGGCCGAAGCCTTTCTGCTTTGCAATGTTTGCATAATATGCATGGGCCACAGCTGGGTCTGCGGGGAGGACATGGAGGGCCTGGTGGTGCAGGTGCCATTGCCCAAGATGCATTATGGCTGACAGATCATCTTTCTGGGCTGCCAGCAGGGCTAGGAGCCAAGACTGAACCAAACACAAGGGCATCAGAGGATATTAAAAAAAAAACTGGATTTCTGCACCTCAATAATAGTTTTACCATAACCCTCCAAGTAGGCCACACCTTATAGGGCTGTTTCTTGACTCCCAATCCAGAGCTGTAGAGTACAGATGCCATATGCAGAGCTCGGTTATCAGCTAAGCAGCCAGCTTGGAGCAGCAGTGGTAATATTCTGCTGATGTCTCCAGTTCTGCCTCCTCTGCCCAGCTTCTGAAGTGATAAGGAGTACAGGGCTCTGCCCACAGCTCCCAGACTCACTCCTCTTTCAACTGTAGGTGACAAAAAAAAAGTAATGTAGTGCTTCAAGACACAATAACATGATCAGTCTGTAATAAGTAGCGTAAGCAAACAAATATTTACCCAGCTCTATAAATTAAAGTCATTTTGTACAGTTCAGTTCAGAATCATTTTTTGAAATGTATTTTAAATTTTAGTGAAGTTGGGAAATTGTGTTTAAAATTATGAAAGAGGGTTCTCTTTTACAGCATAACATCATTAATCTACTCTCCTGTCATCTGATTCAGAGTTGTAGATGCTGCATATACAGAAAGTTTTGAAAGCAGTCATCAGATAAATGTAGAGGTGTAGAAATGCAACCAATTTAATCAAGTCAATGTAATGTAAATGTAATTATTGTGACTTTCCCCTTATACATACACACACACACACACACACATATATATATACAGTCATTTTGTAAGTAATATTTATAGTATATAATATATATAGTAATATCTTTTCTCACCATGTTTGAAAGCCAAATGTTTTGCCAGCTTCACAGCTTGCCTTCTGTGAGGGACAGTTTCCTCCCACAGCTCAAACAGTGGTTTTGATGTTAGTCTGTTCTTTACCATCATCTCTTGGAAAGCATCAAAGCAGGTGTCTGAAATGAACAACAGACAGTGTATTTTGCAGCACTGTGGAATATGCACTTTTAAGAAACATTGAGTTGAAGTATTTTTAGCACCATCTAGTGGATATATATATATATACCAAACTCTTCCCCCTGATTGGCCTGAAGGGAATATCCTCTGATCTTCACACTCATCTCCAGACGAAAAGCTCGACATGTATGCAACCATCCAGTAAGATTCACAGCTCTGATAACATCTGGAACAACAACTTCAGACTGGAGAAAAGCAAATGATGAGAATTTAATTAATTGAATAGTTGACCTGGACATGAACTGTTGTCAGGTGCATTATATTCACCGTGCTCCGAGGCAACACTCTGTTGCGGTGGTAAACCATTGGTCCATAATAACCTTCCACACCTTCTATGAATTTACTTCCACCAATCACAAAATATCCCTCTGTGTCATCCAGCAGGATATTGTTCTTAGAGCTGCAAGACACAGTACTCACATATTTAGTAGAAGGAAAGCATTGAGTGCATCTTTATTTCAGATGTTGTCTTTAGTAGACTTACATATAATCTGCAGAATAATCCTTTCTCTGCTCCTCATCTATACACACCATGGAGACAGTCACCTGAGATGCAGAGACAATGACCAATTCATTTTCATAATTACAATAATTGACTTACTGTACAGGGGCGTGTCCAGGAGGATAGCCAGGGGTTGCATAGGCCACTCAGAAATCTAATTGGTCACCTCTGATGCCTATTTAACTTTAACTGGCTATTTGCTTGGTCAGAGGTGTAACTGTAAAACCAACCAACCAATGCAGAAGTGCAACTAACTTCATAACGCCTCTTCAGAAAACAATTGGTGATGTCTCTGAGACTCCGTCCATGTTTTATACAGTCTGACGTTGCCACTCTGTTGTGTTGTACTTTTAAATTAGAAAAAAAAACTATAAGCAGGAATATAAAATCTGTATGATACAAAATAAATGTTTAATATGATTGATCATGAATTGATAAAAAAATGCTTTTCAGACATAGGTGTCAGACACACACCTCACGCCATCCCTTTAAAATCATTCTGATCAAAAAAAGGCTGGACACACCACTGAGACTGTAATGATATCTTTAGTCAAAGACAGTCTACTCACCTTTGTTCTAAGCACCTTCACACTGATTTGGCACCACTCACTTAAAGGCACCTTGAATGGAGAGAGAAATGCAAATGATTCCTCTGACTCTCCACTCATCTGGATGTGAAGCCGGCCTGCACATGAGGCGACAGAGAGAAGCTAATGTAAGTCTACATAATGGTGTAAAAACACAAGAATGTGACAGATGAGAGAAAATGGTTTACATTTTACCTGACTTTGTGAGTAACAGTGTCGGTGTGGTGTAGTCATCATTGGAGTCTATATGATAAAACAATCCACACATCTTCTCTTGGCAGTGTCCGGTCAACCATATCCACAAAGAGAACATAAACCTGACAAAAAAATAAGGCCCATTTACCCTGAACACACCAAAATTAGAAGCTATTGGTTTCAGGTTGGCGTCATTAGTGCTGTCTTACCTTGAAGAGGAAATGGTTTTAACGCGCAAATACTCCAGAGCTTTATTCTTGTACGGGGCCAGTATCTTTGAGATGCCAAAGTTTTCTTCAGACGAAGCAAATATTGATGACAGCAAATGTGCTTCTGAAATACACAGTTTTTTAAAAAGAAGACTACAAGAGTTAAATTGCACCAAACTTTTAAAAAATACATCCATCCTTTATAGACCAATACCGTATTATATGCACACATTTGACCCAATCTAAAATTATACATTAGAATTTTTTTTCTCCAGAAGATGGTGCTGAAATTCAGAATTTACAAAAGCTACAATATTTGTGATTTTAATTGCAAAACGTCCACAGTTTAACCTGACTTCTAAACCTTACCTTGCTCGAAATGGCATTGTTTCTTCAAAAAGTGCTGAGTTAACTTTAGCATTTGCATGCTCCATGCAATGCAGAGCTCATGCTGTTTCACAGGCCGGTCAAAGAAAGGAATTGGCTCCAAGTAAGCCACATCCTGAGCTGTAACCACCTCTTCAGTGTCATCAAATCCAGGGTATGTGACTGCTGCATCCAGCATACAACTCAGTGCCCACTGGGAGTCAGGAACAATCCCATCAGCTTGATAAACCAACCAATCAGGGAGGTTCAGCTCTACAGTCTTTAATGTCTTGCCATAGGGGTCACATCTCCAGTGGGTTAGCTCAAGTGTGCGACTGCTGCCGGTGTCAAAATATACTACTAAGTCTAGCTGCACTGTGGCAGGGTCATTACAAGTGTAAAATACAACCAGACGTTGGCCTGGCAAAGCCTTCACTGGAGGATCCAGGAGAATAACCTGGTTGAAACCTAAGACCATCTGTGTAAGAGAGAAAACCATGCTTGTAAATGCTAATGACATAAACTAGAAAACAAGACCATTTAAGAGATGATGAAGGAAAAATGCACTTACTGTACCTGCACACTGAGACAGAGCAGACAGATGTATATACGCTGTAATGATATCCATGGCTCACACTGTGTTTTCATTGAGCTCTCCATTAAAGATTTTCAAGCTCCAGAGAAACAAGAAGCCTCAAGAACCGGACAATCATCCTGCTCCACCTCACTGACATGGAAGCAAAGGTAAATATTTAACAGCAGATAGCCCCACCCATCACTGTACACACAGTGCAGGTAAGGTGGTGCTTCTAATTTGGATGAAGTACTAATAATTTACCAAAAGATAAGCAAAGGAAGAAAGACGTCAATAAGCCTGATTCTACCTTTCATCTGAATTAAACTTCAGTGAAATTGTAATTACACTAAAGAGAACAAACTTCTCTGTAAGTCTACAAATGAAAATGAAAGTTTAAGATGGTGTGTTGCATGCAGTGTGGTATCAGTGAAATAATCAACTCATCTTTCATTCAAAATAGTTTATTGCTATCATGCAGGAGTGCCATAAAAGTCGAGATCATCACGTAAGATGCAAAAATGATCATTTTCTCTGTACAAATATACTGCAGGTTTTCATAAATAGAAGCCAAAAGCAAAAAAGGGAGATGGGGGGAAGTAAAGAGTTTAAGCTGATCCTCTCTTTTAACCCAATATAGGTTTCGTTACAGCAGTTGACATGCATCAACATGACAGTGCATTTTCCTGGGAGCAGACAGACGCACACAAGCGCACATTCAGACGGTGCAATTCATATACAGCTCTGTCGTGCAAAAGAGGTACAAATGACACCATAAAAAAGGACCAGTAGGAAATTGATATATATATATTTTTTAACTGGTTGCTAAAATAAAGTATTGAAACACATCTTAATCCAAACCACCTGTTACATTATGAGGCTGGGGGAGATGCCCTCTGTGTCTTTTGCAGCACTTTTGGTTGTTCATCGGTCAGGAACGCCCTACATGTCCTGACGTCTCTTCTACTTTAAAAATCACCTACAACTACTGATGCATAGTTCTGTGCTCGTACGAAGCGGTCAATATTAAAACTGGCACAATGTAATCGGAGGATAGTAATTATCTGTAACAAATGTAAACATACTGTGCTGATTGTACGGTTACAGCAACAATACCCTTGGACATTCAGTGTTCAAACCCAGAATATACATTACAGACTGTATATCATGGTTGTTTGTGTTCTGTGTGTAAGGGGCTCAAAGGACCGGACACACTACAAATACAGAGGCACTGTGACTTCTGCTTCCACAACTTGTCGAACTGAATCTTCCATAAAAGATGGATTACATAAAGAAACTTTTATCTAACACAGAGCAAGACTTGTTGCCCTGTAATATAGCCTTACAGCACTCAGTCCATGCTTACTCACTGCCGAGGAGTTCTTATTTTCCTTCCTGAAAATCCAGAATCAGAAACAATACAGTAAGACATACAAGCAGCAGCCAGAGTCGACGCTAATTCTGCACCAATTCAATAAAGAAACATTTAAGTGAAAGGTCTTTTAGACGACTCATATAATTTAGAGTAGAATTTGTCATATCAAACATATTTGGTTTTTCTTTGATAGTTGTGAATAAAAATGCACAGATGTTTTTCTGTTTAGTCTTTGATTCATAGAAAGTCTTTATGGTATACACCGTTCTAATGTTCTTTCATCTAAATTTTAAAGTTACTAAAGTTAGTGTATTTGTCTTGCAGTCTCTGGTATTTAAATTTGGTATGTATATGTTTGGTATCATTGCTTATATCAAAAGGGTTTTGTATAACATGGACAATTTCACCTGATATCTGTTCACATCCTGCTTTAGTGGAGCTGCGTCAAAATAAGGTTAACTTTTTGACATTTTATTAAAAAGCTACATAACAGCATATTTCTTCTCACTCTCTATGCCACATGCACTCAACTTAAACTCTTGAAACTAAAGCATAAGGTCTAAAGCTGCGATCTTCTAGGTCTTAATTACTCGGAGGAGATTTACCTCTTGTCCAACTCGATTAAAAGCTCGATGTCATTCAAGTTCAAAAGGTTGTACGCTATTATTAAGCCTGTTTAATCCCGTTGTCTGAAGAATATAGATTTGCAAGTAGCTGTTTTTGCGTCGTGCTCTGTTCAACACTTTTGAAACTCCAGTAGAATTTAAAGAAAAGCTTTCTACTACAACTCTTCTGTTGGAGGATTTACTTGATGTGTCATAGCTCTGCAGAAGACAAAGAAACACAAGACAGAAAACGTATCACCATCAATAAAAACAATTACTTCAATGAAATAAGGTGCGCGCATTCACTTTGGTTTTTGTAAGCGAGGTGGTTAGGTAGTAATTAACAAATTAAGTGTTGTCTAAGCAGGCTAGCGACAAGAACAAGCAACACCAAGAGCATTCGAGTAACAGTCAAACAAAAGTGAAGACATGCAAAATGTTATAGATATAGAACAAGAAAGGAAACACTGGGAGACACATTTCCTTTGAGACTGGCACTAACTTCCTGCAGAATA